AAGGCGAGAAGCAGCAGCCATGGCACCTCCGTTGCTGCTGCTGCTGCTGTTGTTGTTGTTGCTGCTGCTGCTGCTGCTGCTGCTGCTGCTGCTGCTGCTGCTGCTGCTGCTGCTGCTGCTGCTGCTGCTCAGGGCGCTGGACGGGGACTGCCAAGTGATGCTGCGGTACCTGAACGCGAAGGCGCTGCAGCTGCAGCAGCTGCAGCAGCTCGGCAGCAGCAGCAGCGTTTTGGGCCTCAATGCCTGCAGCAGCATTGGCCCCACATTTGAGGCTTTGGAAGAAAAGACAGATTTGCTGCCAGGTCTTTTTCTCTTTTTATTTATTTATTTATTTTATTTTTTATTTTTCTTTTATTCTTTTTAGTCCTTTTAATCTTTTGTTTCTTTTTGTCTTTTTTTCGTCCTCTTTTGTCTTTTTTGTCTTTTCTTTTTGGTCTTTTTACTGCTGCTGCTGCTGCTGCTGCTGCTTCACGGCTGCTGCTGCTGTTGCTGCTGCTACTGCTGCACTGCTGCTGCTGCTATTGGTGCTGCCTCTGCTTCTGCTGCACTGCTGCTACCGCTTCTCCTGCTGCACTGCAGCTGCATTGCTGCTGCTGCTGCTGCTACGCTGCTGCTGCACTGGTGCTGCACCTGCAACTGCTGCTGCTGCTACTGCTGCTGCACTTGCAGCAGCTGCTGGTGCTGCACTTGCAATTGCTGCTGCTGCTGCTGCTGCTGCTGCTGCAGACATGCGAGAGCGGCTGCGAGTGCCGCACTGGAAGCTGAGAGTTTTGGAAATGGATTCTCTTCTTTCCGAAAGACAAAATGTGCGTCTGTGGGGTGTACGTGCGCTGGGGTGTACGTACACCCCAGCTGCAGCAGCAGCAGCAGCAGCAGCAGCAGCAGCGGCTTTGCGCTTTTTCGGTTTTTCAGCTTTTTTAATTTTATTTGCTTTTTGCTTTATTTGTTCTCTTTTTATTTTGATTTCTTTTTTGTTTTTGTTTGTTTTAACTGTATTTATTTTGTTTTTAGTTTTATTTTGGTCTTCTTTTATTTTCTAATATTTTCTTTTCCAAGTTTACCCTTTTACTTTCCTTTTAATTGTCTTTTATTTTCTTTAAAGAATAAAGAATCTTCTTTTATTTGTTTAATTATCTTTTTATTTTTAAATTATCTTTTTTGTTTATTTAGTTGGCCTTTAATAATTTTTGATTTCTTTTTATTTCTTAACTCCCCTTTAAATATTTTAAAACCTTTTAATTCCTTTTATTTCTTTAATCCCTTTTAATTATTTAAAACCCTTTAATTCAATTTATTTATTTAATTTAATCATTTAATTCCATTTATTTTTTAATTATCCAATTAATTCAATTAATTGATTTAATCTCTTTACTTAATATATTTAACCAATTTAATTAACTGAATTCATTTAACTTTTTACCTTTTTTATTCAACTTGACATACCCAATTAATTTAGCTTATTTAATTTATTTAATTATTTAATTTAATTAATTAATTGTTATTTATTTATTTATTTATTTATTTATTTATTTATTTATTTATTTATTTATTTATTTATTTATTTATTTAGGCGCTGCTGGACCTTTCAAACCGCGTGGGTCTTTTTTGCGAAAATATAACTGCAGCAGCAAATTCGTTTTTGGCGCTGCAGCTGCCGCTGCAGGGGCCCCCCGCGCAGCACAGGGAGATGGACGCGCTGCAGCAGCAGCTGCAGCAGCAGCAGCAGCAGCAGCAGCAGGAGGAGGAGGAAGAGCAGCAGCCCGAACCCCCCGTCATCTACGAGAAAGGGCTCAACCCCTACGGAGAACTCTTCCTCAGAAAACGTGGGCCAGAAGTACTTAGGGTTTGGGCTTGGGGTTTAGGGTTTAGGGTTTAGGGTTTAGGGTTTAGAGGATTTAGTGTTTAGGGTTTAGGGCTTAGGGTTTAGGGTTTAGGGTTTGCGGATGCTGCTGCGTCTGCTGCGCACTCTGCAGCCCCCGACAAGTACCAGGCGTTTGTTAGGAAGTGAGCCTTCGCAACAAACCCTAAACCCTAAACCCTAAACCCTAAACCCTAAACCCTAACCCTTAAACCCTAAAACGTAGACCCTCAGAAACAAAAAGCAACCAAACAAACAACTACAAAAATAAACAATTTTAAGAAATAAATAATCAATGAATAAGATAAAAAAATAAATGAATAAATAAATAAATAAATAAATAAATAAATAAATAAATAAATTGTTGTGGCGCTTTCGCGCTTTGCAGCGACAGCAGCAAATAAATGCAGTTCAGCTTCTTGCATGCAACATTGCATGCAAAAGGATCAAAATAAAGGAATAAAAGAAATAAAATAAAAGTAAACAATTAAAACAATTAAAAGAATTAAATAAACAATCAAATAATTGTTTAAAACCTCCGAAATCTCCAAAAAAACCCATGCATGCGCAGCGCGCAATCTGCGTCTTTGCGCGCAGCAGCTGTACATACACCGCAGCAAATGCGCTGCTGCCGATTTAATTTGAACACTTTTCCTTTTCTTGAATTATAAAATGCAAATAAATATATTTTAAAGCACTAATTAATTACTTTTCAACTTTAATTTGCTGCAAAAGGGGAAAAAACCCGCAGCAGAAGCCGCCTCAGCCGCCGCCTTCGCTGCTGCTGCTGCTGCTGCTGCTGCTGCTGCTGCTGCTGCTGCTGCTCAGGGACCCGCTGCACCTGGAGTGGGAAGTGCGGGTGGTTTCTCTTCGGGGCCCTTACTTGTGCGTGCATGCATCTGAAGAAGATCCATTTGCTGCTGTGGAAACAGCTTTGTTTCTGGACAGCAGCAGCTACGCGCGGACGTTTGCTGCTGCTGCTGCTTCGGCGCTTGCTGCTGCTGCTGCAGCAGACTACCCGCACGGGCTGGAGGTCCTCGAGGTGGACGTACACCGCAAGGAGCTGCTCAGCTTCCTGCTGCTGGCAGCAGACGGAGAGGCCTTAGCAGCAGAATGGGTGGAAGCAATAGAGGAGCTTTGCATGCAAAACTGTGGGGCCCCACACCCCACAACTCCTGGATACGATCCCAGCTCCTCCCCGCAGCAGCTGCACCTCGAAGCAGCAAACTTGAACTTCCCGGTTGCATGCAGACGCAAGGCCGCGTTGCTGCCAGCAGAGCTGCAGGGGGAGCAGCAGCAGCAGCAGCAGGAGGGCTCCTCGGCCTACAGCAGCAGCAGCAGCAGCAGCAGCCGCAGCGACAGCGCCCGCAGCAGCCGCGCGCGCAGCAGCAGCAGCAGCAGCCGCAGCAGCAGCAGCAGCAGCAGATACGGGAGAAGCAGAGACTCCGCGTCTCAAAGAAGCTTCCCAAGAGAGAGACACAAAAGAAGCAAAAGCAGCAAAAGCAGCAAAAGAGAAAAAAGAGAAACTTCCGGCAGCAGATCCCGAAGCAACTCTTCGCGCTCTGGCTCGGAAGCCAGCTCGGAAGCAGCAGCAGCAGCAGCAGCAGCAGCAGCAGCAGCAGCAACTCTCGAGGCCCTCACCTCCCCACAAAGACCTATTTTTAGAAGAGAAGAATTAAATGAATTAGAAAATAAAACTTTCCATTTGGGGGCCCTTTATGAAAGGCGCATGCGCAGAGCAGCACACAGGGCCCACAACCCAGCAGCAGCAGCAGCAGCAGCAGGCAGCAGCAGCAGCAGCCGCAGCAGCGACAGCAGCAGCAACGGAAAGGACGCAGCAGATCGACGGAGTAGACAGCCGCAGCCGCCGCCAGCAGAACCGCCGCAGAGAGCAGCAGCAGCAAAGCCCGAAGCAGCAGCAGCACCAGCAGCAGCAGCAGCAGCAGCAGCAGCAGCAGCAGCAGCACCAGCAGCAGCAGCAGCAGCAGAAAGGGAAGACGCAAACCCTTCTCTCAAAACGATGCGCACAGGCATTCGGCAGCAAGCGGTGCTGAGCCGCATCAAAGCCTTTGAGGCAAAAGCAGGTGGACCTGCTGCTGCTGCTGCTGCTGCTGCTGCTGCTCCCCCTGTCAAGCTGCAGCAGCAGCAGCAGCACAGCAGCAGCCCACCACACAGCACATTCCGCTCTCTTCCAGAGATAGACACTCTGGACTTTGCGTTTGTGCCTGAAACTCAACTGACTTACTGCAGCAGGAGCAGCAGCAGCAGCAGGAAGATCAGCAGCAGGAGCAGCAGAAACGTCAGCAGCAGCAGCCGAAAGGGCAGCAGCAGCAGCAGACGCAGCAGCAGCAGCAGGCGTGACCGGTACGTGACCGCCGCCGCCTACATTGCCGAAAGAAGCAGCAAGAGAGCGAGCAGCCGCAGCACCAGCAGTAGCAGCAGCAGCAGCAGCACCAGCAGCAGCAGCACCAGCAGCAGCAGCAGCAGCAGCAGCAGCAGCAGCAGGCGATTCAAACGAGAACCTGAACTGGGAAACTCTCCACCCGCAAGGCGGGGCCAGGGGCATGAAGGAGGCAGCGGCTCTCCGTGGCCGTCTCCGCACAGCACTGCTGCTGCTGCTGCTGCTGCTGCTGCTGCTGCAGCAGCAGCAGCAGCAGGCAATGCCAGAGCAAGGCCACTCTTGGACGCCTCCGAGCTGCAGAGACACCAGCGCCCTCTAGCTGCAACCAACTCAAAGAAGTCGAGGTGAGCAAAAGATCCAGCTAGCTAGCTAGGTAGCTAGCTAGCCACCTAGCCACCTAGCCAGCTAGCTAGCTAGGTAGCTAGCTAGCTAGGCACCTGGCCAGCTAGCTAGCTAGCTAGCTAGCTAGCTAGCTAGCTAGTTGGCTAGCTAGCTGGCTAGCCAGCTAGCTATATGGCCAGCTAGGTAGCTATCTGGCTAGCTAGCTTGCTGGCTAGCTAGCTACCTGGCTAGTTAGCTAGCTGGCTGGTTAGCTAGCTGGCTAGCAAGCTGGCTAGCTAGCTGCCTAGCTAGCTAGCTAGCTAGCTAGCTAACTCGTTAGCCAGCTAGGTTCTTGATATGGTTGCCGCTTGGTCGCCAGCCTGCACGCGTGTGTCCTGCTGCTGCTGCTGCATCTATTGTCTCTGCTGCTGTCGATTCCGCTGCTGCTGCTGCTGCTGCTGCTGCTGCTTGCAGCGGGCGCGCTGAGCCGCAGCAGCAACTGCAGCAAGAGCTGCAGCAACAGCAGCAGAGGCAGCAGCAGCTGCAGCGGCGCTTCTCCTACACAGCTGGACTTATATCGCCTTTAGAAAGGAGACAGCGAAGGGCCCAGAAACAAACAGAGGGGGCCCCTGGGGGCCCCCCTGGGGGCCCCCCCGGGGGCCCCCCCGGGGGCCCCCCCGGGGGCCCCCCCGGGGGCCCCCCCGGGGGCCCCCTCGGGGGGCCCCCTGGGGGCCCCCCTGATGATTTTGTCAGAGTTCGGATGCCCCCAAGAACAGCTTTGCCGATGTTTGAGGACTTCACGCCCACGCCGCCTTCTGCTGCTGCAGCAGCAGCAGCAGCAGCAGCGAAAGAAGCAGCAGCAGGAGCAGCAGCAGCAGCAGAAGCAGCAGAAGCAGCAGCAGCAGCAGCAGAGAAGCAGCATGCACAGGCTGCTGCAAAGAAGAGAGCCAGCCTCATAAAGGCAAAGCCAGAGAGGCCGCTGCCCCCTCCTAGAGTTACTGCTGCTGCTGCTGCTGCTGCTGCTGCTGCTGCTGCTGCTGCTGCTAAGGCCAGCGCGCCTGCAGCAGCAGCACCAACGCGGCGGCTGCTGTCGCTGCCTTCGCTGCCGCCGCCTGTGGGGCGCAGCAGCAGCAAAAAGACAGAAAGTAAAAAAGAAATAAAAAGAAAAATAGAAATTAAAAAAGAAATATTTGACAGCAGCAAAGAACAAGAAATAATCAGCAAAATGCTGCAGCAAATCGGCTCCCTCAGGATCCGCAGCTCCGCAGCAGCAGAACAGCCGCTGAGCCGCAGCAGCAGCAGCAGCAGCAGCAGCAGCAACAACAACAGCAGCAGAACCACAGCCACAGACCACGAGGAAGACAGGAGCAGCAGCAGATGACACAAAGTGCCTTTCGCTTTGCTGCAGCTGCTGCTTCTTTCCTTTTGTCCCTTTGCTGCAGCAGCAGCAGCAGCTGCTGCTGCTGCTGCTGCTGCTGCTTCTTGTCTCATTTTTATTCCCGGTTTCTTCCCTTGTCTCTTTTGTCACCTTTGCTGCAGCAGCAGCAGCAGCAGCTGCTGCTGCTGCTGCTGCTTTTTGATTGCCTTTTACTTAACGTGCGTCTCTCTTAGGTGTGCTTTCACTTTCTTGAGGGTTTAGGGTTTAGGGTTTAGGGTTTAGGGTTTAGGGCTTGTTGTTCAAGGCCTAGGCTGGTAGGGTTTACGGTTTGCAGTAAACCCTCATTAGGGTTTAGGGTTTGGGATTTGCTGCCCCTAGGGTTCACAATTTCGAGGGTTTAGGGTTTAGGGTTGCTGCTTCTAGGGTTTAGGCCCCAGGGTTTAGGGTTTGGGGCTTGCTATTCCTACTTAATCCTAGGGTTTAGGGTTTAGGGTTTGCTATCTCTAGGGTTTAGGGCTTTCTATCTCTGGGGTTTAGGGTTTAGGGTAAACCCTAAACCCTAGCTCCTTAGAGGCCGCCCTTGAAAAGTCCTAGCCCTAAACCCTCCCCCTCAAACCCTGGCAAACCCTAAACCCTAAACCCTAAACCCTAAACCCTAAACCCTACAAAGACACTAGCGCTTGATAAACCCTAGGTCCGAACAGCAGCAGCATTTTTGTAAGCGTGGCTGTCTGTAGACAGTTTGTTGCTGTTGCTGCTGCTGCTGCTCCTGCTGCAGCAGCAGCAGCAGCAGCAGCCCTAATAAAGCCCCAGTTCGAGACCCAAACCCTAACAGCATTTGGGGGCCCCCAAAAATAGGGGGGCCCCCAAGCACAGCTGGGGGCCCCCCAACACAATGGGGGCCCCCCAGCAACTTGGGGGCCCCCCAGTACCTTGGGGGCCCCCCAGCAGCTTGGGGGCCCCCCAGCAGCTTGGGGGCCCCCCAGCAACTTGGGGGGCCCCCAGCAGCTTGGGGGGCCCCCAGCAGCCTGGGGGGCCCCCCAGCAACTTGGGGGGCCCCCAGCAGCTTGGGGGGCCCCCAAGACCACGGGGGGCCCCCCGGGGCCCTCTGGGGCTCTTTCTTTGTTGCTGCTGCTCACAATGCGGGGGGTGTGGGGCCCCACAGGGGCCCCCAAATGGGTCTGGGGGCCCCCCAGGGGGCCCCCCAGCTACAAATGCATTACTTGGGGGCCCCCGGGGGCCCCCAAATATATTTGGAAGGAATTTGGAGGAAACAAAAAATAAAGAAATGAAATTATCGGAAGTTTAGAGAGCTGTGCGGTACTAGATATTTGGCTGCCAGCAGCAGCAGCAGCAGCAGCAGCAGCTGCTGCTGCTGCTGCTGCTGCGGCTGCGGATGCTGCTCGTCCGGCTCACCCTTCAGCAGAGCAGCAGCAGCACTTGCTGCAGCAGCAGCGCCTGCTGCTGCTGCTGCTGCTGCTGCTGCTGCCTGTAGAGCTATTCCCTGAGGGTCTCCCCTGTTGACATCCGCCTCCTGCTTGGCCGGGTGCGGGCCTTGTCTGCAGCAGCAGCAGCAGCGGCAGCAGCAGCAGCAGCAGCAGCAGCTGGGGAGCTAGAGCGATGTTGCTTTGCTGCAGCAGAGTCTTAAGAGCAGCAGCTCACCTCGCCGCAGCAGCATGGAGATGCAGCAGCAAAACTTGTGGAAAGTAGCAGCAGCAGAACGCCACCTGCGGGCTGTGCGACCTTCTGGGTGGCAGGCCACACTGCAGCACAGCAGCAGCAGCAGCAGCAGCAGCAGCAGCAGCACTTACACTCGCACCAGCAGCAGCGGAAGAAGCAGCAGCGCTTACACATGCAGGAGCAGCAGCAAGAAGCTGGGGGCCGTCAAGTAGCAGCAGTAAAACGTGAGCAGCAGCAGCAAACTTAAGCAGCAGCAGCAGCACCAAAAGCAGCAAACCGCCAGCAGCAGCAGCAGCAGCAGCAGCAGCAGCAGCAGGTAGGTAGGTGGCTGTGGCTGACTGTGCTGAGATGCAGAAGCGCGCAGCGAATAAAATTAGCACCAAGTGCAGCAGCAGCAGCAGCAGCAGCACTTCCTGAAGGCAAACAGACCCAAACCAATGAGCAGCAGCAGCAGCAGCAAAACTTAGCGCAGCTGAGGCTGCAGCAGCAGCGCAGCAGCAGCGAGGCAGCAGCAGCATGGCAAAGATATGCCGCCACAACTCAAAGCCGTGCGTTCCGCACTACAAGCAGCAGCAGCAGCAGCAGCAGCAGCAGCAACGGCAGCAGAGCCAGCAGCCACAGCAGCAGCAGCAGCAGCAGCAGCAGCAGCAGCAGCAGCAGCAAACGGGGCACTTACTTTGCTGTCTCCTTGTACCTCCTGCGGCAGCAAAGGCTCTCTGAAGCCTAAGGCGAAGCTGCCAGCAGCAACAGCAGCAGCAGCAGCAGCCTTGAGGCGGCCTTGCTGCTGCCGCCGCGGCACGAGCTGCTGCTGCTGCTGCTGCTGCTGCTGCTGCTGCTGCCACTGGCTAGCAGCTTCCACGGCGTCTTGACACAGCGGGTGTGTGGCGGGTGTCTCTGCGTAGAGCTGTACGTACACCTCAGCACCCCACACAGCAGCAAAAGATAAAAACAAAAAACCAAAAAAGAACTCTAGCTAGCTAGCCAGCTAGCTAGCTAGCTAGCTAGCCAGCTAGCTGCAACAAGCGCAGCAGCAAATACTGACACGGCCTCTCAGCAGAGAAACATGAGAAAGCTTGAGGCCAGGTTGCTGGCTAGCTAGCTAGCTTGCTGGCTAGCTAGCTGGCTAGCGGAGTAGAGAACTAGCTAGCTAGCTGTCCAGCTAGCTAGATAGCTAGCTAGCTAGCTAGCTGACCGGAGAGCTAGCCGCCTGGCTAGCTAGTTAGCCAAGCAGCTAGCCATCGAGCTATGTAAGCAGCTAGCTAGCTAGCTGTGTAGCTAGCCACTGGCCAGGAGGCCATCTTGCTAGCTAGCTAGCTAGCTAGCTAGCTAGCTAGCCGCTGCAAACCCTAATTTAGGGTTTAGGGTTCCCACCGTGATGTTGGTCCAGGAGAGAAGAGGCCCCGCTTTGTCTCTGCGGGCCCCACAGTGGCAAAGCCAATTTGCTGTTCCCGCTTTTGCTGCTATCTCCTGCGCACAGTCAGAACAGTTTGCTGCTGCTGCTGCTGCTGCTGCTGCTGCTGCTGTTGCTGCTGCTGTTGCTGCTGCAGCTGCTGGCCCACTCAGGGGAGCCCCTAGAGCTGCTTGCTGCTGCTGCGGCGCGGCAAGTGAAACAGGGTATTAGTGCTGCTGCTGCTGCTGCTGCTGCTGCTGCTAGCAGCCAAATAAAGCAGGGTCCTAGTGCTGCTCGCTGCTGCTGTTGCTGCTGCTGCTGCTGCTGCTGTTGCTGCTGCTGCTGCTGCTGCGTGTGTTCCAGTGTCAAGAAAAATCACAAAAATTAAATTTGAAAAAAACAGAAAAGCGCAAGCAGCAAACTCTGAGCTGTATGTACACCTGAAGGCCCTGTCACTGAAGTTTAATTTTAAAATTAATTTATTTATTTTTAAATTCCACTTTTTAATTTAATTTTTTTATTTTAATGCCATTTGTTTATTAATTTCTTCTTTTTTAAATGCCATTTGTTTGTTAAGCTACTTATTTTTAAATGCTGCTCATTCAAAGATGCCACAAAGTCCATACACATACAATTTGTAATGCTTTTACTTTAAAGCAGCAGCAGCAGCAACAGCAACAGCAGCGGTAGCAGCAGCAGCAGCAGCAGAACAGCAGCAGCAGCGGTAGCAGCAGCAGCAGCAGCAGCAGCTTGGCTCTGAGGGAAGCAAACCTGGGGGACAAACTGAAGCACGCAGACTGCAGCAACAGAGCTCGCTTCCTCCTCTTCCTTCTGCTCCTTCTGCTGCTGCTGCTGCAGCAACAGCAGCAGCAGCAGCAGAGCCACAATGAGCAACAGGAAGCAGCAAACAGCGCAGAGGGATCGGCAGCAGCAGAAGCAGCAGCAACAGCAGCAGTCTAAAGAGCTAGCTAGCTCTGCATCATGTCTCTGTAGTTCAATATCTGGCTAGCAATGCTAGCTAGCCAGCTAGCTAGCTAACTAGCCAGGCAGCTAGTTAGGTAGCTAGCCAGCCAAGTGGCTAGCCAACCAGGGAGCTAGCTGGCCAGCCAGCTAGCCAGCCAGCTCGCCAGCTAGCTAGCCAGCTAGCTAGCTAGCTAGCCAGCCAGCTAGCCAGCCAGCCAGCTCGCCAGCTAGCTAGCCAGCTAGCTAGCTAGCTAGCCAGCCAGCTAGCCAGATAGCTCGCCAACTAGCTAGCCATCTAGCTAGCTAGCCAGCTAGCTAGCTAGATGGCTAGCTAGCTAGCTAGCTAGCTGTGGGGGTTTCATACCAGGGGGAGGGTGTGTGGGGCGCCGAAGGCCGGGGGCTCTCTGCGCTGCCGCAGCTGCCCGCCCACCTGCAGCAGCAGCAGCAAACTTTCAGTTTGTCCTTCTGCTGCTGCCATTAGTCCTTTTGCTGCTGCGTCTACCACTGCGCGGGCGCGTGCTGCTGCTGCTGCTGCTGCTGCTGCTGCTGCTGCTGCAGACGCTGCCGTCTGCAGTGCTGCTGCTGTTGCTGCGGCTTCGACCGTTGCTGCTGCTGCTGCTGCTGCTGCTTCTGCTGCTTCTGCTGCTGCAGCTGGCTTTTTTGTTAGGCCTCCTTGGAAGACAGCAAGGGCCTCTTGCGCCTGCTGCAGCGCAGCAGCAGCTCCCTCCCCACTAACCATTTCGCCAACTAGCTGCTGCTGCTGCTGCTGCTGCTGCTGCTGCTGCTGCTGCTGCTGCTGCTGCTGCTGCTGGCCGATTTCCTCCCGCTCATGTTGCAGTGCGGCGCCTTCCACCTCCTGCTGCGGCCATCGCTGCGGCTGCTCCCGCTGCTGCTGCTGCTGCTGCTGCTGCTGCTGCTGCTGCTGCTGCTGCTGCTGCTGCAGCTTGTGCTGCTGCAGCAGCCTGTTCCTGCGCAGCAGCTGGCTGTAGCTCCTGCCCAGGCGCCTGTAGGCCCCCGCGAAGTCGAAGCGAATTCTGCTGCCAGCAAACTTCGGATTGCTGCTGCAGCGGGAAAGAGGAAGTGCTGCATCTGCTGCAGCAGCAAAAAAGCCCCGGGCCTTCGGAGGCACTAAAGACAGCGGCAGCAAAGACCCCGAAATCGCCAGCAGCTGCAGCGGCGTCGAGGGGCCCGTCAGGCCGCTGCGCACAAGCAGCAGCAGCAGCAGCAGCAGCAGCAGCAGCAGCAGCAGAACGGCTTACACCGCTCTAGCAGCAGCAGCACAGCTGCCAGTAGCAGCACTGGTGCCTACACCGCTCCAGCAGCAGCAGCAGCAGCAGAACAACTGCCTACAAGGTTCCAGAGGCAGCAGCAGCAGCAAAGCTGCTGCACCAGCAGCAGCAAAGCTGCTGCAGCAGCAGCAGCAAAGCTGCAGCAGCAGCAGCAGCAAAGCTGCAGCAGCAGCAGCAGCAAAGCTGCTGCAGCAGAAGCAGCAGGTAGGGACTGACAGCAGCAGCTTAAGGAAGACAGCTGCAGCTGACTCACTTGTTGCTTATCTCCAGTGTATGGACTTCCCACAACTGCAGCAGCAGCAGCAGCAAAAGCAGTAGCAGCAGCGGCTAAAAGAGCAGCAGCAGCAGCAGCAGCTCAAAGCATTAAAGACGTTTTGTTGCATTTCAAGAAGCAGCTAGCACCAACAGACAGCGCCAAGCAGCAGCAGCAGCAGCAGCTGCTGCTGCTGCAGCAGCTGCAGCAACAGCAGCTGCAGCAGCTGCAGCAACAGCAACAGCAGCTGCTGCTGCTGCTGCAGCTGCTGCAGGTCGACACAGAGCCGAAGAGCAGCAGCAGTCGAAGAAGGGAGACAGCAGCAGCAGCAGAGACACTGAAGAAAGCAAAAGAAGCAAAAAAGGAATAAATAAAAAGAGAAAAAGAAATAAAAGAAAAAGAAATTAAATAAAAGAAAAAGAAATTAAATAAAATAAAAAGAAATAAAATAAAATAAAAAGAAAAAGACAGAAATGAAAAAGAGCCAAACCCACCTCTGTCTCATTTTCCTGCGCATGCAGCAGCGCCTCCCCTGCCTCTCCCGCCTGCTGCTGCTGCTGCTGCTGCTGCTGCTGCTGCTGCTGCTGCTGCTGCTGCAGCTGCTGCTGCAGCGCAGCAACCTGCTGCAGCAAGCCCCTGAGGGCCTGGGGGTCCAGCAGCTGCTGCTTCGCGCGGGCAGCTAGCTCCTCGCCGGCCCTGTCTGCAAAGCCCTGGACTCTGGCTAGCTGGCTAGCTAGCTGCGCCCCCCCAGCAGCTAGCTCAGCTAGCTGGCTAGCTTGCCAGAAGCCCCCGGCCTCTTCGCCGATTTCTGGGCTCACTGCCAACACCCCTTTTGCTGCCAGCAGCCAGTCGTCCGCCTCCCCTGCGCAGCACACGCCCTGCTGCTGCTGCTGCTGCTGCTGCTGCTGCTGCGCTGCTGCTGCTGCTGCTGCGCTGCTGCTGCTGCTGCTGCAGCAGCAGCAGCGCTGCTGCGCAGTTTTCGCTCTTCTTAGTTCGTTATTGCTGTTTGTCTATTTTCTGATTAATTAATTAATTTATTTACTTTCTTTTTGATTAATTAATTAATTACTTTATTTATTTATTTATTTGTTTGTTTTCTTTTATTCACTTTGTTTTTTTATTTCTGTGCTGCTGCAGTCTCTTTTTTTTTCTGCGTTGTTCTGCAGTCTGGCGCCCTCTTATTGTTTATTATTTCGTTTGATTTAAATTAATTAATTTAATTAATTTAATTAATTTAATTAATTTAATTAATTTAATTAATTTAATAAATAAAGATAAATAATTAGATTAATAAAATTAATTAATTTAATTTAATTAATTCAATCAATTTTATTAATTTTATTAATTTAGTTAACTTAATTAATTTAATAAAATCAAATAATTAAATAATTGAATAATTATTTAATTAATCAATCAATTAAGCAATTAAATTAATATAGGTAACGAATTAATTAATTGATTATTTATATATTTATTTGTCTAATTACTTATTTAATTACTTATTTAATTACTTATTTAATTACCTATCTAAATATTTATTTAATTATTTATTTTTATTTAACTTTTTATTTAATTAATTATTTAATTATTTAATTAATTATTTAATTAATTATCTGTTTAATTAATTAATTAATTATTTGTTTTTAATTGTTTTAATTTCATTTTATTTCCGCAGGTGCTTCTTGTGCGCCTCTTCGCCTGCGAGCCCTCCGTGGGGAATTGAATTAAATTAATTAAATTAAATTAATTAAATTATATTAAATTAATTAAATTAATTAAATTTAATTAATTAAATTAAATTTAATTAATTAAATAAAATAAAATAAAATAAAATAAAATAAATTAATTAATTAATTTCGCACCTGTTGTGGGATATCCCAAAATTGGGTTTAAAGGGGCAGGAGCAAAATTGGGCAAAGACAGAGCCCTGTACAGACACCCCAACACCTGCTGCTGCTGCTGCTGCTGCTGCTGTGGCTGCTGCTGATTCGGCTGCTGCTGCTGCTGCTGCTGCTGTTGCTGAGGGGGAGGGGGTGGTGCTGTTGCTGCTGTGAAAGGATTTAGAGAAAATGCAGCAGCGACGGCAAGGAAGGGAAAAGCAACGCCAGCAGCAGCAGCAGCAGCAGCAGCAGCAGCTGCACCATTAGCAGCAGCAGCACCATCAGCAGCTGCACCATTAGCAGCAGCAGCACCATCAGCAGCTGCACCATTAGCAGCAGCACCATCAGCAGCAGCGCCATCAGCAGCAGCACCACCACCAGCAGCGGCAGCAGCAGCAGCACCACCACCAGCAGCGGCAGCAGCAGCAGCAGCAGCAGCAGCAGCAGCAGCAGCAGCAGGGGCTGACAGTTTGAGTTCTTCGTAAGCTGCTTTGGCCCAGGGAGGCAGCAACTTGTCTCTGCAGCAATTAAAAGGATAAGTCCAGGTGTCTCCGTAAGTGTGGAAGTTCAGAGCAGCAGTGAACAAGCCCGTGCTGTAGTCCCCCACGCACTGCTGCTGCTGCTGCTGCTGCTGCTGCTGCTGCTGCTGCTGCTGCTGCTGCTCCTGCTGCTCGTAGCGCTCTACGAGGCACTTGATGGCCTGCGTCTCGGGCTCGCTGAAGGGGTAGGGGCCCCCGTACTCCTCAGGCACTTCCCTGCAGCAGCAGCACAAACTGACTCCTGCTGCTGCTGCTGCTGCTGCTGCTGCTGCTGCTGCTGCTGCTGCTGCGGTGCTTCTGGCTGGCGTGTCAGCGGCCTGGACTGCCGGCGCAAAAGGCAGGGAGCCGTGTGCCTGGCTAGCTGGCTAGCTGGCTAGCTAGCTGATGGCTGACTGGCTAGCTAGCTGGCTAGCTGGCTGGCTAGCTATCTGGCTAGCTAGCTGATGGCTGACTGGCTAGCTAGCTGGCTAGCTAGCTGGCTAGCTGGCTAGCTAGCTACTTAGCGAGCTGGCTAACCAGCCAGCCAGCCAGCTAGGTACCTAGCTAGCCCTCCAGCTACCTAGCTAGCTAGCTAGCTAGCTAGCTGGCCACCTAGCTAGCTAGCTAGCCAGCTAGCTGGCTAGCTAGCTAGCTAGCTAGCTGGCTAGCTAGCTAGCTGGGCGGACCCGATGGACTGGAAGTGGAAGTCGTAGTTTCTGTTGAGGTCAACTCCGAAGTCTTCGAAGGGGCGGTGAGGCTGTGGGGGCGGCCGGCGGTTTTTGCGGATGGAAGTGTTGCCTGTGGCTTGAATTGCTGCATAGCTGCAGCAGCAGCAGCAGCAGCAGCAGCAGCAGCAGCAGCAGCGGCAGCAGCGGCAAAGGCAGCGGAGGCGAAGGCGGTGAGGCGGCAGCAGCGGAAGCAGCAGCAGCAAGGCATCCATTCAGCGGAGAAGGAGCAGCTGCTCCGGACAGACTGGGCTGTGGGGAGCAGCAGCAGCAGCAGCAGCAGCAGCAGCAGCAGCAGCAGCAGCAGCAGCAGCAGCAGCAGCAGCAGCAGCAGCAGCAGCAGC